AAAAAAAAAAAAAAAAAAAAAATACAAGGGTTTTAGCAGCTCCATGCCGGGAATGGGGGTAGAGACCAATGTGTATATTTCTTATTATTACACAGTTGCCAATGCCATCCCCAGGCGAATCCCTCCTGTAGGACCATGAGTTGTACATCCCTGGGATCCGCCAGCATGAGAGGCTGGACCGTTCTCTGCAGGCCTGGCTGCCTCAGTCCCTCTGTCCTCCGGGCCAAGTCGTCATCCCTGTGCCTGCCCTGGTCCTCACTGTCCACCTCCACAACCCCTTCCGGCAGCTGGAAACAGGGAGCTGGCTGTACTTGAAGTCCCGTGCTGCTCCAGAGACCAGAGTCGACCCTTGGTCATGGCTCTCAGTTTCTTGCCAACTACCCCAGGCCATGTCTGAGTGTCCCTCTGGAACCTTGCAAAGCTCTGGCTTTCTACTGTGCTTTTCTATGACTTTTAAATAAACCTTTGAGGAGGAATGTGTCACTTCTGCCATGTTCCTTTTTTTTTTTTTTTTAAGAATCGAAGTCTTACTCTGTTGCCCAGTGGCACACTCACAGCCACCACAGCCTCAACCTGCTGGGCTCGGGTGATCCTTCCGCCTCAGCCTCTCAAGTAGCTAGGACAACGGGTGCATGCCACCACACCTGGCTAATTTTTTAAAAATTTATTGTAGCGACAAGTTCTCGCCAAGTTGCCCAGGCTGGTCTCGAACCCCTGGACTCAAGTAATCTTCTCGCCTCCGCCTCCCAAAGTGCTGGGATTCCAGGCGTGAGCCACCACGCCCGGCACTGTCATGTTTCATGAGGTGTGAGTCGCTGCTGCCCCAGTCTGGCGTGAATCCCACATGGTCTTCCGCACCCTGAGATCTGGGCTCCTCCCCCACTGCCCTCATAACAGACAGCGCCCCAGGGGCCAAGTGCCAGCAGGTGGCTGCGAGCTGCACTTCACAGTTGGTGACCTTGAGACAACTCCTTACTCCGCTTGGGACCTCCTCTGTAAAACGGAGGTCACTGCACATGCACTGCCCAGACATCACGGCTGTGGCAAGTCTGGCTGATACATGGAGAAGCCCTTACAGGTTGCCCAGAGGTCCCCAGTAAGACAAGCGGGTCAGGACCAGAGTCCTGGGGTTGGGCGCTAGTACCACTCACCTGGCGGTGTGTCCTCAGTCCTCGGCAACCTCAGCTTCCATCACAACAGAGAATATTCTGGATGAAAACCAAATGCAGCATGTCTAGGGGATACCCTGGTGGTCTGGGGCCAGGGACCAGGGTACAATCTCAGAAGAAATGGGGTCACATTTAGGCCTCATGTGTACGATGTGGGTGACCCAGGCAGGATTCTTACAGTCTAAGCCTCAGTCTTCCTCCCCGTAAGATAAGGGCGATAATATTTGCTCTGGAAGGGCTTGCCGGGGACCAAGCACACTACTACATCCGTGACATACAGAGCACACAGTGCAGGACGACCACATGTTCAGTGACACGATAAGCATGAGCTCGGTAGGTCTGGCCCGCTTGGGACCAGGCAGGGTGGCATGGTGGTCAATGGCCTGGGCAGTGCCCGAGTTTCAACCTGTCATGATCTCGGCCAAGTCACTTAACCCCAGTTTCCCATCTGTAAAAAACGGGGACTGTGGTTCATGCCTGTAATCCCAGTACTTTGGGAGGCTGAGGTGGGAGGACTCTTTGGGGCCAGGAGTTAAAAACCAGCCTGGGCAACATGGTAAGACTCTGTCTCTGTAGAAAAAATAAAATAAAAAGATAAAATGTGGAGAGTAACTACAGCACCTGTCCTGTGGGGTTATTGTTTTGTTTTTTTTGAGTTGGAGTCTCACTTTGTCGCCCAGGCTGGAACGCAGTGGCACGCTCACGGTCACTGCAGCCCTGACCTGCCGGGCTCCGACGATCCTTCCGCCTCAGCCTTCCAAGTAGCTGGAACTACAGGCAGGTGCCACCACGCCTGGCTAATTTTTTTGGTTTATTGGAGAGACGAGGTCTTGCCAAGTTGCCCAGGCTGGTCTCAAACCCCTGGGCTCAGGCAATCCTCTCGCCTCAGCCTCCCAAAGTGCTGGGATTATAGGCGTGAGCCACCACACCCAGCCTGTGGGGTCACTGTAATGAAGACCAAAGGGGTCAGTAACTATAAAATATTGGGGCCCAGCGCAATGGCTCACACGTGTAATCCTAGCACTTTGGGAGGCTGAGGCAGGATGCATCGACTGAGCCCAGGAGTTTGAGAACAGCCTGGGCAACACAGTGGGACCTCAGCTCTACAAGAAATCAATTAGCTGGGTGTGGTGGCACGTACCTGTAGTCCCAGCTTCTCTGGAGACAGAAGGATTGCCTGAGCCCAGCAGGTGGAGGCTGTGATGATCCATAATCATGTCACTGTACTCCAGTCTGGGCAACAGAGTGAGACCCCGACTCAAAGAAAAAAACTGTGAAACACTCAGAACGGCGTCTGGCATGTAGCTTGTGGTCAGGAAGTGTGAACTGTTGTTATCATGACTGGGGAGTCCACGGGGCCTCTGGCTTCCCCACCCACGAGATTCACTGACCTTGCGAGGGCAGCGTCCGCCTCCTTTGAGAACTTGCCGAAGAGCAGGCAGACTTAACCCAAAATAACTTTATTGTCTCCACTTCTGATATAAAAGCATCCTCAAAACGGGAGGGTGGAAGGCGGCAAATGGCTGTGTAGGGTCTGGACCCCTCTCCTCTGAGGGTCAAGCCTGTGCTCAGCCCAGCTGCCCGTTTCCACGTCCTGCCAATCCCCCAGGGTGGACCACAGTGCTGTCCAGAAGTTTTTAAGTCCAACATTGACCAGATACGGCGACCACATCCCGACCTTGGCAGTGGGGCAGAGGGCGGAGTCGCAGCTTTTGGCTGCCTCCCAGAAGGCCTGAGTGTCGGGGTCCCCCAAGCTGGCTCTGAGGCCTGAGCGGAAGCGGGGCTTGCCTGAGGTCGCCGTGAGGCACCCGCTCTCCCTGAGTTCCAGGGTGTCCCCTTGTCATCCCTCCCAATGGGCATGGGTGCTCCGGGGCCCACTGAGGCTCACGCAACTACAACAGTTGCACCTGCACCTTCAGTCGCAAGGCAAGGCCTCCTGGCTCCGGCCATCCTTCCGGCCAGGGCTCCCCCACACTGCTCACCACCTCCAGCTGGTAGGTTCCAGGCTGCAGCCGCCTCCGCCCCAGCTGCAGGGAGCTGAGACCGTGGAGGTGCCGCATGAGGAAGAAACCTTGCTGGTTGCCCCGGGCAATGACATAGCGGACCCGGCCCCCCAGGAGCGCCGGCCTGAGCTGCAGGATGCGTTCAGCCTGGCCCAGACGTGAGAGGTTGAGGCCCAAGGTCAGCAGGTCCTCAGAGTCCAGGGTGGCCAGGCTCATCTGGGGAGAAAGACCAGATGGGTGGTCAGAGCCCTGGAAATGTGGGATGTGGTGGGGAGGAAATGCTGGCCAATCTTTAAAGTGGAGAGGCCAGGCACAGTGGCTCATGCCTGTCATTCCAGCACTTTGGGAGGCTGAGGCAGGAGGATCACTTGAGCCCAGGAGTTCAAGACCAGCCTGGGCAACATGGCGAGACCTCATCTCTAAGACAAAATCAAAAAATTACCCGGGAGCAGTGGCACACACCTGTAGTCCCAGCTACTCGGGAGGTTGAGGCGGAAGGACCATCTGAGCCCGGGAGGTCAAGGCTGCAGCAAGCCATGACACTCCAGTCTGGGCAACACAGTGAGACCCCAACTCCAAAAAATAAAGTGTTGGAGAATACGGGGCACACGCTGCCCTTGACCTCTTGTGTCTAGCCCTCTAGGCGCAAGGTCAGTGGTCCACTTGGACCATAGACACAACAGCACAGGGCTGAGGCTGGTTCTCAGGTAACCAGCAAAGAGACAGGTAGATAGATGGCCACTCCCAGACACAATGACTCCACACCCCTGGTCTCGGCTGAGGCACCTTTGTCATCAGACCGCTGCTAGCTTTGGTTGAAGGGACCAAAGATTTGCTCTTAGAGACCCAGCAGCCCAGAGATTAGTCTGATGATATTGGGCCCTAAGAGGTGTTAGGAACAAGGGCTTTTCAGCGGAAGCCGGCCCCCAAAGGACACCAGAGCTGACAGTGAGAAAAACAGGACACTGAATAGGGCCAAAAAGCAGAAAGGACCAGACAGAAGAGCGCCCACGGCTTCCGCTGCACTTCCTGCATCTGGCACTCTCTGAGAGCCCCCTGTGTGCAGATGACAAACCCCCCTTTATTGGAGCAGCTCTGAAGCACCTTCCTGGTCCTGGCAGCCGGACAGGGCTCTGAATAAGACAGAGTCACTATGGCAGGTTCCCCCGGGCCTGGTGATGTACCCAATTCCACAGAAGGTTATCTGTTTTCTTCTCTTTGCTCTGGGCAAGGCTATGTTTGTTTTGCTCATTTACATGCTGATGGAGTGTTTTACTGTTGCATTCAAGGCTTCCCGGGACCCTCAGTTCTGGACATATCAGGCCTTCCCCTGGACTGTTGCTAAGACTTGTGATCTTACTGACACCTGCTGGCAGTCAGTGGATATTGCAGGCAAAAGCACAAAGCAAATCTACCTCTGCGCATACCAGGAGTCCAGACATCCACGCCACTCTTATTGAGTACCAAGGGCTGGTGATAAGGCAGCAAATTCATTAGACACAGGGCTCTATCCTTGTGAAGCTTAGATAGATAGATAGATAGATAGATTAGATTAGATAGATAGATAGATAGATAGATAGATAGACAGATAAATTCCCAGCAGTAACTATGGGATAATATATACAGTCACCGTTTTTTCTAGCAAGGGGAAAAAGAAGAAAAAAGAGGGCAAAGTAATACATCTGCTTTTCTGAAAATTTTTTTTTGAGTTGGAGTCTTATGCTGTTGCCCAGGCTGGAGTGCAGTGGCTTGATCACAGCTCACTACAGCCTCGACATCCTGGGCTCAGGCGATCCTTCTGCCTCAGCCTTCCAAGTAGCTGGGATTACAGGCATGCACCACCACACCTGGCTAATTTTTTGGCTTTTTGTAGAGCTGACGTCTCACTGTTGCTCAGCCTGGTTTCAAACTCCTGGCCTCAAGCAATCCTCCTGCCTCAACCTCCCAAAGTGCTGGGATTACAGGAGTGAGCCACCAGACTCAGCCAACATACTCATCTTTAATCTAATAATATTGAAAGCCTCTCAAATATGATACTCTTATACCCACTTCTGACTTTGATTTTCCCCATAGCATTTATCACGTCATATTTATCATGTGTTATAAAATATGACGTGCTTTAAGTATTGATTTGTTGTCTGGTCTCCCTATTAGAGTATCAGCCTCACGAGGGTAGGCATTTTAGATTTTCTAGTTCTCTGGTGCTTCATTACAGTGCCCACCACACACTAGATGCTCAGTAAAATTTGTGGAGTGAAGGAGTTTGGTCTTAGATGTCTGTAGTGGGGGTGAGCTTGGGGTAATGGCTTCCCTACTCAGTGAGGGTATTTCTGGAAAACAATGTAAAATCATGGCCTCAGAAGGCAGTGGCTGCAGAAGGGCCCTAGGATGCTTAGCCATGAAGATTAAAGTTGCTCATAAAAAGGTCATGGCTGGGCACAGTGGTTTATACCTATAATCCCTGCACTTTGGAGGCTGAGGCAGGAGGACTGCTTGAGCCTAGGTGTTCGAAACCAGCCTGGGCTACACAGTGAGACCTCACCTCCATAAGAAATCAAAAAATTAGACAGGTGTGATGGCGCACACCTGTAGTCCCAGCTACTCAGGACTGAATGCAGAGTGCTTGGGGCAGCGCTTGCATACAGCAGGTGCTTAATACATGTTTCATTTTCAGACGCCTTGGGTGATGGCTGCAGGACTGACTTGCAGTGGCCTCAGGGACTCTTTAGACGATGGACAAGCAGCTCGCATCTGTTGCAAAACCATCCTCCCTGCACACTCTGATGGTGGTCTGAGGAGGCAGGAGGGACAGAGACACAGGCCTTCCCTGCTGCCACTGAGCGGTGCTGGAAGGACACTGAGGTTTTCAGAGACAAGGCAGGTTCAAGAGCTCTAGGGGCAGCCCAGACCCAGGAAAGGGTACAAGGGTGGATGCTGGGTGGGTGTGTCAGGTCCCCCAGCCACCCTGCCCAGGGCAGCCCCCACGTCACCTGGTGGTCCCAGCGGGTGCTGCGCCGTGGCCGGTCCTGAGGGGAAAGGTCGTTGATCTTGCATTCATAGCAGGCATCAGGTGAGCGCGGCTCCTCCTCGCCTGGGGGGTCCTGGGGTCCAGGGCTGAAGCCCAGGCCAGAGACACAGTGCCTGGGCCAGGACCAGGGAGGGGGGCTTCAGGGGCGGGCTGGTGAGATCTCAGCCACCCCCTCCACCCTTCACATTCCTGTTACTTATTTACTTTAGAGACAGGGTCTTGTTCTGTCACCCAGACTGGAGTGCAGCGGTGCGACCATAGATCACTGCCACCCCCAACTCCTGGGTTGAAGTGATCCTCCCCCGTCTCCCGAGTGCATGCAGGAGTGTGTCTGTGTGTGCACGTGTACATGTGTGCTTGCAGGGGCGAGTAAGCGTGTGCGCATGTGTACACTCCCAGGGCACACACCACCACGCTCAGCTAATTTTTGGACTTATTGTAGAGATGAGGGCTCGTGATGTTGCCCGGGCTGGTCTTGAACTCCTGTCCTCAAGCAATCCTCCTGTCTTAGTCTCCCAAAGTGCTGGGATTACAGGTGTGAGCCACCACACCCAGCCTCCTTACACTCCGAGTCCTGCTGCAAACACCCATGTACAAATGTCCTGTGTGTGCTGGAGTGGCTCCATGTGTGAATGAGTATGTACCTCCATAAGGGAGTGTGAACACAGGAGGGGAAGGGCACAGATGGGAAGGGTGAACCAACCTGTACATACCTGTGTGCACCCAAGGGCTGACTCGTGCAAGCACATGTGCTTAAAGGCATGTGTGAATCTGCTCGTGTGTACCTGGGATGTGAGCGTGAACCAGCATGCAGGGGACTGATAACATGTACCTGCTCACCTGTGCAAACCAGTATGCACCAATGACACATAAGCGTCTCTAGGGAGGGTACGGGCACAAGTGAGACTGCATGTACACTGATATGATCACACAGGGGAACACCCACACCCACACTGGGTCCTGTGATTGCATGGGGTTGCCCAGGCATGCTGGCACGGGTGTGTGCCATGTGGACAATTATATAGTTGCAGTGTGAGCCTGTGTGTGCTGCCACACTTCTGCATATTTGGCTCTCTGCTCATACTTTTTTTTTTTTTTTTTTTTTAGTTGAAGTCTCACTCGGTTACCCAGACTGGAGTGCAGTGGCTGCTCCCGGCCACCGCAGCCTCGCCTGATGGGCTCCGGCGATCCTTCCGCCTCAGCCTTCTGAGTAGCTGGAACTACAGGCATGCACCACCATGCCCGGCTAATTTTTTGATTTATTGTAGAGATGAGGTCTTGCCAAGTTGCCCAGGTGGGTCTTGAACCCCTGGGCTCAGGCAATCCTCTTGCCTCAGCCTCCCAAAGTGCTGGGATGACAGGCTTGAACCACCACGTCCGGCCTGCTCATACGTTTGTACACACCTGCAGGCACAGGCAAAGGGAGCCCTTCCAGTGGATTCTCGGTGTGCACACGGTTCCATACATGTGCGCGTTTATGTGCACACAAGTACACGTGTTTATGTGTGTACATATGTGTGCACACCCATGTGCGTGCAGGAGTATCTGTGTGTGCACATGTGTGTGCACGTGTACGTGTGTGCTTGCAGGGGCGAGTAAGCGTGTGCGTGCGCGTATACTCCCGGGGCTCGAGGTCGGTCCACCCCACTCACCCCTGCCCAGCCCGGAAGTAGCCTCGTGGACAGCCACACAGGAAGCCGCCCAGAGTGTTGGCACAGCCGTAGCTGCACGGGTGGCCTCGCCCGGCGCACTCGTCCACGTCCCGGCAGCCCCCGAGGGTCTGGTCGAAGTCGAAGCCAGAGGGACAGACGCAGCGGAAGCCACCGAGCGTGTTGCGGCAGGAGGCGCTCCCGCAGGCCGCGGGCAGCAGGGCGCACTCGTTCTCGTCTGCGTGGGGAGAGGAGGGGGAATGGGGCGGCCCTGGGGCCCTCCAGGCGGAGGCGCCCTCTCCAGAGGCCAAGGCCAAGGCTTTTGCGGGAGCCCTTGGAGGTCTGGCCCCGCCCCCGGCCCCACCCCCGTGGCCCCACGCGGTCAGCACTTCCCCTAAACCCTAACGCCGGGCGATCCAGAACAAGCTCTCTCCCCCTCAGACCCACTGACATTCGGGCCGGACTGTCCTCTGGGATGGTGCCCACCTTGCCCTGCGGGATGGTGAGAGGCAACCCTGGCCTCCACTCAACGCCAGAAGCAACACCCCCTCATCGTTTGCCTGTTTGTTTAGAGTCGGGGTATCCCTCTGTTCCCCAGGCTGGAGTGCAGTGGCAGAGCATAGCTCATCGTAGCCGGCAGCTCCTAAGCGCCATGATCCTCCCACCTCAACTGGGACTGCAGGTGTGGGCCACCAGGCCCAGCTAATGAAAAACGATTTTTTTCTGTAAAGACAGAGTCTTGCTATGTTGCCCAGGCTGGTCTCAAACTCCTGGGCTCAAGCTATCCTCCCACTTTGGCCTCCCCAAGTACTGGGTTTCCAAGTGTGCATCATTCCACCAGGCCCCGATTCTGATGATCAAACATCCCTAGGGGGCAAACTGGTCCCCAAATGAGAACCTAATTGGTTGTCTAATAGGTCCTTGTCTCCTCTGCCAGACTGGACAACTTGAGGCAGGGATGGCCTCTGTTTTCTGACTCACTTCAGCATCTGAGCTTCGGGCCTCGCGCACAGCTCAGTAAACAGCTGGGGAAGGAATGGAGGAGGGGACAAGCCAAGAGGGAGAAGGCTGACAGTATGTGAAACCCCTGAGACTCCTGAGGGCAGAGGCCTCACCTGGGGGGGACTGAGAAGCCCAAGAGGAGCTTGGCTGAAGACCCACTATGAGAAGTGGAAGCAGGGGGCAGAGAAGGCAGTGCCTTCAAGGCACCAGGAGAGTGGCAACAGCCACCATCACAGAGGCCACAGGAGACAAGGTCCAGGAGAGTCAGGCTTTGTAGAGTCGCAGAGGCCCAGGGACGGGCCAAGGAGGGGTCTTGGGTAAAGGGGAAAGCTGGACTGCGGGAGAGGAATGAAGAGGTGAAATCGAGACTGTTGTCAGGAGGACCTAGAGCAGCAAAAAGGTGGGGGAGGTAGAGGGACAGAATATTAGACCCCCCCAAACTGAGGGCCTCTGCAGCAAAAATGTAGCAGGCATGCCTCCACTGGTCCTTGCTGTGCCCATGGCAGGCATCACTAACCAATCACAGCACTTGTTCTAAGTGATCACAGAATCACAGATTGTGCATCTCAGAATCTTTCTCAACTGGGTCCTCCAGGCCGCCGTGACCTAAGGACTGGACTGGGACATTTTGCCACACTTGCTCTGCAGCCCCGACTTCCCAGCAGCGGGGAACTCACTACATTCTGGGCGGGCCCATCCCGTCTTTAGCTAGTGGTGCTCATTACGGCATCTTGTGGGGAGGCTGTTGCCGGTTACCTGCTGTGGGTGGATTCTGGTGTGGGGCCTGGCTTCCTCCCACCCCCGCCACTCACCCACACACTGGGCCCACTGGGAGTGCTGGGTGAAGCCCTGGGGGCAGCCACAGCGGTAGCCTCCTGGTTGGTTCTGACAGCCATGCTGACAGCGATGGGGGCCGTCACATTCGTCCACGTCTGAGACACAGAGAGAGGGAGGGGGGGTTCACCAGGAGGCCCCGGGGACCCAGCCTGCCCCAGCCCTGGCACCTACCTTCGCAGACACGGCCTGAGCTGTCCAGGGTGAAGCCCTGGTGGCACTCACAGCGGAAGCTGCCCAGGGTGTTGTGGCAGTGTCCGTGGGTGCCACAGGGGCCAGGCTGGGCCGAGCACTCGTCTTTGTCTGCAGAGGATAGAGAATGAGCAGAGTTGCCGGGGTGCCTGGTGGTAAAGGGACGCATGCCGGACGTCACCATGCCAGTCCCACCACCTGATCCACACTGTGTGGCTTCAGGCAAGTTGCTCATCCTCTCTGTGCTTCTGTTTCCCTTCTGAGAAATGAGATTCGTCGTGGTCCCCACCTCACAGAACTGCCGCCCAGATTTGGGATCATGCACAGAAAGGACTTTGAACCTTATCGCCACTTGAAGCTGTGTGACTTGGGGCAACTTACTGACCCTCTCTGTGCCTCAGATTCCTTAGCAGTAACCCGGAGATGGTAATACCTACTTCACTGTGGCTTTGGTCAGAAGTAAATTAACTTAACTATGTCAAGGGCTTAGGACGGTGTCAAAGAGTAAAAGATGAACAGAAGCCCTTTCCCGTCTTCCTGGGGGCAATGACCTGGGGGTGCCCGTTGAACTCAGCCCTCATGGAAACCTGATAATAGAGTGAGGTCAGCCACGCCTGGGGACTGAACACCTGCATGTCCCCCAAAGCTGTGCTGAAGTCCTAACTTCCAGTGAGATGGTATTTGGAGGATGTGCCTTTGGGAGGCGATTAGGGTTAGATGAGGACATGAGAACGGGACCCTCCTGATGGGATGAAAGCCCTTAGAAGGAGACACCAGGTTGGGCATGGTGGCATATGCCTGTAATCCTAGTACTTTGGGAGGCTGAGGTGGGAGGATCGCCTGAGCCCAGAAGGTCGAAGCTGTGGTGAGCCAGGATCGAGTCACTACATTCCAGGCTGGGCGACAGTGAGACCCCGACTCAAAAAAAGGAAGAGACAGCAGAGAGCTTGTACGCCCAATCTCTCTCCCTCGTCCTCTCCCTCTCTCTCCCTTTCCCTGTCATGTGACCACCCAGCTAGAAGGCAGCTGTCTGCAGGTCAGGGAGAGAGCCCTCACCAGGAACATGCCATGCCAGCACCTTGATCTTGGTCTTTCCAGCCCCAAGAACTGTGAAAAATAAATCTCTGTAGTTAATGCCAATCAGCGTATGGATGTCTTTCTTTCTTTCTTTCTTTTGAGTTGGAGTCTCACTCGGTCACCCAGACTGGAGTGCAGTGGCCGCTCCCGGCCACCGCAGCCTCGACCCTGCTGGGCTCCGGCGATCCTTCCGCCTCAGCCTTGCAAGTAGCTGGAATTACAGGCACGTACCACCACGCCCAGCTGATTTTTTGATTTATTGTAGAGATGAGGTCTCAAACCCGCGGGCTCAGGCAATCCGCTCACCTCAGCCTCCCAAAGGCGCGGGATTACAGGCTGAGCCACCGAGCCCGGCTGGATTTCTTTTTGTAAGCTATTTTTAAAAACTTACGTCTGTGAACATTTTCCCGTTTTTAAAAGAATTTTTTTTTTTTTTTTGAGTTGGGAATCTCACTCTGTCACCCAGGCTTGAGTGCTGTGGCAGGATCATGGCTCACCACAGCCTCAACCTGCTGGGCTCAGGGGATTCTTCTACCTCAGCCTCCCAAGCAGCTGGGATTACAGGTGCATGCCACCACACTTGGCTAATTTTTTTTTATTTTTGTAGAGAATAGGTCTTGTTATGTTGCCTAGGCTGGTCTTGAACTCCTGGGCTCAGGTAATCCCTTCGCCTCAGTCTACCAAAATGCTGAGATTACAGGCGTGAGCCATCACATCCAGCCTCTCTCTGGCTGCTTGGATGCCACAAAGGCAGAGTTGAGCTGTTAAAATGGAGACCGTATGGACCACAAAACTGAACATGTTTACTCTTGGGCCCTTGGTAGAAAAAAATTTGCTTACTCCCAATCAAGTTGAGCCTCAGATCTCTACCTGCCTGGCTGAGAATTTAAATTCTTTTCCAGAGAGAGGATGTCATGTATGAGCCCACTATGCATGTGATACCAGTAGGATGCATGTGCCCTGGTCCATGCTGTACACATGCACCCTACTGCGTGTGACTGCTGCAGAAAAAGTGAAATGTATCATGTTTCAATTCGTTCAAATGTCCCTTTTTGAGAAGAATCCATCCGATCCCTCCCTCGGGAGGCTGAGATGTGAAGACTGCTTGAGGCTAGAACCCTAAGGCTGCAGTGACCTAGGATCGTGTCACTGCACTCCAGCCTGAGCAACAGAATGAGATCCCATTCTATGAAAACATAAAAATTAGCCAGGCAGGGTGGTGCGTACCTACAGTCCCTGCGACTGGGGAAGCTGAGGTGGGAGTATCATTCGAGCCCAGGAGTTCAAGGCTGTGGTGAGCTATGATGACGCTACTGCACTTTAGCCTGGGTGACAGAGCAAGACTCGTCTCTAAAAAAATAAACGGCCAGGCTCGGTGGCTCAGCCTGCAATCCCAGCGCTTTGGGAGGCCGAGATGAGTGGACTGCCTGAGCCTGCGGGTTCGAGACCCGCCCGGGCAACTTGGCGAGGCCTCATCTCTACGATAAATCAAAAAATTAGCCGGGCGTGGTAGCGCATGCCTATAGTTCCAGCTACTTGGAAGACTGAGGCGGAAGGATCTCCAGAGCCCAGCAGGTTGAGGCTGTGGTGGCCAGGAGTGTGCCACTGCACTCCAGCCTGGGCGATGGAGTGACTCCAACTCAAAAAATTAATTCATTAATTAAATAAAATAAACAAAAAACTCCCCTAAGAAACCACAACAGACTGGGTGCGGTAGCTCAAGCCTATAATTCCAGCACTTTGGGAGGCCGAGACGAGAGCACTGTCTGAGCCCGTGAGTTCGAGACCAGCCTGGGCAACATGGTAAGACATCGTCTCTACATCAAAAATTTAGCTGGGCGTGGTAATGTGCACCTGTAGTTTGGCTACTTGGAAGACTGAGGTGGAAGGATCGCCTGAGTCCAGCAGGTCAAGGCTGCAGTAGCCAGGAACATGCCACTGCACTCCAGCCTGGGCGACAGAGTGAGACTCCAACTCAAAGAAAAAAAAAAGAAATCCACAACAAAAAATAACCCTGTAAGTCACCCTGCTTTCCTGAACCTGCTTTTGCCTTTTCTTTCTGTCATTCTGTATATCACCTTCAAACATGCTATAGTGTTAACTTTTTTTAAGCCGGCATCTTACTCTGTCATTTAGGCTGGAGTACAGTGGCATAATCATAACTCACTGCAGCCTCAACCTTCTGGGCTCAGGAGAACCTTCTTCCTCAGCCTCCTGAGTAGCTGGGACTACAGGTGCTCACTACCATGTCCGGCTAATTTTTAAATTTTTGGTAGAGAAGAGGTCTTGCTATGTTGCCCAGGGTAGTCTTGAACTCCTGGCCTCAAGCAATCCTCCCACCTCAGTCTCCCAGAGTGCTGGGATTACATGCCTGGCTGTGTTAACTTATCGTTCTGTCTGTTACTAGTCAGATTCCCTGCTGCAAGGGGCGTCCATGACGGTAGCAAGCTTTGTCTCTCGTGTTCATTGTTTTACCCCAGCACTTATAACAGGGCTTGGCAAGCTTCCTGTTTCTGAACGTCTCTGTGGCAAAACTCCGCCTTGCTATTGTAGTGCAAAAGCAGCCACGGATGATAGATAAGCAAGTAGGCATGGCTGTGTGACAATAAAACTTTATTAACAAAAGCAAACAGGGGGCCGGGTTTGACCTGCAGACTGGAGTTTACCACCCTTTGGCCCGGTATATAGTAGGTGCTGCCTACGTGGATTAGTGGGAGCCTGAATAGGGCCACCCGTGGCTGGGCTCAGCCCCCTGGGTTCTCTTGGGGCCACAAGACAATAAGAAGCCATGGCAGCAGCAGACGCCATCGTGGCTTTGGCTTTGACTTCTGAACCCACTTCCCTATGAGAGCCCCTGGCGTTTTGGGAGCACTCTGGGGAGGCCCAAAGAGGGAGACCCAGCAGGGACCGGTCAGGAGCAAGGTGAGAGGTTCAGGGCCAAGGTCCAGCTCCCATGGGCAAGGAAGGATGTTATAGATGCCACTAGGCTGTGAGGCCTGAGGACATAAGGACCCTCTGTTCTGCCACCCCCACGGCCCCACGCCTGGCATATACCAGGCGCGTGACGTCTCTGGCGAGCAAAAGAGTGAAGAACAGCACCATGCCAGGGAGGCGACCACTGCCTGCCGGGGGAGGAGGAGGGGGAGGCACTTACCAAAGCAATCCTGGTGGCGCTGGGTGAAGCCGGGAGGACAGCGGCAGGCAAAGGCACCCACGGTGTTGACACAGAGGAACTGGCAGTTGTGCTGCCTGGAGGCGCATTCGTCGAGGTCTGTGGCATAGACAGTCCCAGCAGGCTCAGGGTGGGGCCTGGCAGGGCTGGGAGGGTTTCCCAGGGGCAGAGGGGTGGCAGGAGAAAGACACCAGACATGGTGCTTGACTCCATGCGGGCAGAGGGTGGTAAGACTACAGGAGACGTGCCTGGGGCATCTCTGGTGGGGCGCAGGGATGACAAGAAGTGGGGGGCGGGAAGGACGTCACCTTTGCAGGTCCAGCCGTCTTTCTCCAGCAGGTAACCGCGGGGACAACCGCACAGGAAGCTGCCCTCTGTGTTCTTGCAGAGGGAGGCACACGGCTTGGGGTCCTGGCTGCATTCGTCCACATCTAGGGGTGCAGGGGGGGTCAGGCAGACATTCCTGGGTGCCTCAGGGGCTCCACCCAGGATCTGTGGGTTTACACAGGCCTTAGTACTTGTTCTGGAAAAAGCCAGAGAGTAAATGTGTGTGGTGTGGCAGGCCCCAGCATGTCAACCATAACTACTTCACATGGTCTTTGTATCAGGAAAGCAGCCACTGAGGGTGAGTGTATAGACATGGCTGTGTGCCAATAAAACTTTACTGACAAAGACAAATGGAGGGCCAGATTCGGCCCTCGGGTTGGGTTTGCCGCCCCGTGACTTAGATAAATACCTGCTGTGTGACGTAACCAAAAATCTGAGGACACACAAAATAACAGGAAAGGATAGCAGAAAAGCAGCTCACACAAGTGGTGGGGGTGGGGATCAGGGTGGGGGAAGGAAAGACTGCTTTGCTTCTGGTCTCTGGTGTTCTCAGTTTTCTTCCAGGCGTGGGTACCGCCTGGTCAATGAAAAGCAAACATGGCAAACCAGAAGGCCCCAGGGAAGCTGGGGTCAGGGCCCAAGTGGAAGGGCTGGACTGGGCCAGGGCTGTGGGGTGCAGGGGCCTGGGGCTCACCCATGCAGGTGGTGGCAGTAGCGTCTGGCATGTACCCGGCTTGGCAGAGGCAGTGGAAGGAGCCGAGGCTGTTGATGCACTCTCCGTGGGGGCACAGGTGAGTGAGCATGTGGCATTCATCCACATCTGGGGACAAGCATGGCTGGGGCTGGCAGCCTGGCTGCTGGGGGCCACTGGGGTACACCGCCTTCCTCCTGCCCAGGGCTGCTCCCCCAGAGGCGAACCTAGCCTCCCCTGCCCCGCCCCCCTCGGGCTACAAGCAGGACATGCCCCAGGGGAGGGGACGCCTGCTGGGGTGCCCACACACAGGACAGGGACAGACAAGGCCATACAACACCCCACACCTGTCACACACTCAGATGCTCCTGCAGGGACACGCACTTCCTCTCAGGGTCTCCCGTGTCCCCCCAGACACACCCATGGATAGGCACTTCCTCCCCCAGCCTCTGTCACTGCTGGTCACTTGGGATGACCCGTCTCACCCTTGGTGACTCGCACGATGAGATACTTGCTCATGCACAGACACACTCACACTCACACACTTGGGTACCCACTGGAGTCCAAAACACACAGGCCATCCTTCTAGCCCACAGATGGGTGGCAGGGACTGCCTGCCCTGCGAGCACGCACACACACACACACACACACACACACAGCCCCCACAAGTTCCTCAATGCACCCACACACACAAAGAACACACAACACACACTGGTTCACGCACCTGCTCCCCGGAACCGCCAAGAATCGGTTCACACCCCTGCCAGCACAAAGACACACAGACACACACACGCAGAGGCGCACACAACACACTCTAGCACCAGCTGAAATGCAGACACACCACCTCAAGCAAGCTCCCCCCCTGCCTTGGCTTTTGGGAACTCCCTGGGCCAGGGACACCCACCTCGGCCCTCGGCGGTGTAGCCCGAGCCATGGGGACACAGCTTCCTGTAGGTGGAGGTGCCGGGCAAGGGACACAGCTCGCAGTGGGGCCCCCAGCTCCGGCCACCCCCGCAGCAGCACTCAGCCCTGGTGACGGCCTCGTCGCTCCTGGACGGAGCCTGGCACGCGGCCTGCAGCGCCTCGGAGAAGCAGGGTCCCCGCCGGATGTCTGTGGAGAATGGGAGGGAGACTCTGGGTCATTCTGGGATGACGGCTTGGGGACAAAGAACCTGAGCTTGCTTTGGGGCCAGCTCTCTTCGGGGGAGGCTGGGGGAAGGGGTGTCCAGGAGGGAGCTCGGTACACATGCTGGACAGCACGAGTGGGCCATCCATGGGGTCTGCTCCCAGAAAGTGGGAAACCCGGGGAGGGCCCGTTCCCATGGCTGTGGCACCTCCAGGGTGAGAGGAGTCACGGGGGCGGGTCAGGGAGGAGGCATCCCAGGTTCCTACAGCCTTTAACTGAAGGGACAGGAAGGAGGCGCGGGGCGTGCAGTGGACATGTGTGTCCTGATCAGCACAGCAACCCCCAGCCGCCTCCAGAGCTCCCAGGCAGCTGGAGGAACAGGCAGCAGTGCCACACGGTGGGTGGCTTCACCCACCACACTTGTGCCTGGCTAGACTCACCGTGGCACGTGGTGAGGGTGAGGCTGGGCTGGAAGCCCTGGTCACAGTCGCACCGGAAGCTGCCCACGGTGTTGACACAGCGGCCATGGGCGCACAGGTCGGGCTGGGCGCGGCATTCGTTGTCATCTGAGGTGGGAGGGACGGGGCAGGCTAGCCTCCGAGCCAGCCTCCTCCACGGCCCCAGAGGTCCCCCTTGGACCTGCCTGAGCCCTCTCGTTTCAGCCTCTCCCTGATACCCCGGAAGCCCCCGTACCCGCCTACCTGTGCAGCCCTCCCCGGAGCCGGGCTGGGGCAGCATGCCTGGGGGACAGGTACACGCAAAGGTGCCGATGATGTTCTTGCACAGCAGGCCTCGGGCATGACAGTCCTGCAGGCCCTCTGCACACTCGTCCACATCTTGGGATGACCAGGGACAGATGTCGGTCAAGGCCAATGGCCCCGGTGCCCCGTGGCCCGGTCCCAGGCTGCAGGGGCCTGGACCCCACCCTCCATCACCTGAGATGGGACCAGAGGCAGGTCCCTGCAGTCCTGCCAGGCGCCCGTCCCTCCCAGGAGGGGACCCCCCCAAGCCCCATCCAGCCTCAGCCTCCAAGAAGCCAAGGGAATCCGGAAGTGGACCCCAAACCTTGCCTCCCCTGCCCATGTCAGGGTCTGTGGCTCTGTCGGGCTTCCACCGTGGCCCCTGGGACACTGACCCTGAAACAATTCTGGAAGGCCCGAGTCCCAGCCCAGTCCTTGGCCCTATGGACATCTGGGACAGGGAAGTCCTGTGTGGTCAGGGCTGTTCTGTGTACATCGTAGGACACTAAGCAACATCCAGGCCACTCGATGTCAGGAGCCTTCACCCCCCACTCCCATTGTGACAATAAAAAGGTAGACGGTACAACTGCTGTCTTCACTGTCCTTACCCCACTCAGGGCAGGTCCAATGCCTACTGTTAGACTCTGGACCCAAGAAGATGCTGGTACCACTTTCCTTCACTTTTATTGAGAGAGAGACTTGTCTCTCTCTTTACTGCCCAGGCCACAGTGCAGTGGCATGATCACAGCTCACTGCAGCCTCGAACTCCTGGTCTCAACTGATCTTCCTACCTCAGCCTCCCGAGTAGCTGGGACCACAGGCATGCATTACCATCCCCAGGTAATTTCTAAATTTTTTGTAGGGGCAGGGTCTCACTATGTTGGTCAGGCCAGTCTTGAACTCCTGGCCTCAAGCGATCCTCCTGCCTCCCAAAGTGCTGGGATTCCAGGCGTAAGCCACCACACGAGAGAGGCCTCTGCACTCTCTCTCTGGTTGCTCACTCCCACCCTCGGAGACACAGGCTCTCGTGTCTCCATTTTCAGGATGTGAAGTGGAAGAGCTGAGATTGCACCTAGGTCTGTTTTTTGACTCCAGGGCCCAGGATGTTACTGACACACAGTGGGAAGTCTCGGGACCAGGACTGGGGGGTGGGTGCCCCGGAGCTCTGCCCATCCCTGCTGGTGCAGGGCCCACCTTGGCATGTGGCCCCATCGTCCCGCAGAGCGTAACCGGCCGGGCAGGTACACAGGAAGGAACCCTCGGTGTTGAGGCAGCGGAAGGCGCAGAGCAGAGGATTCAGGGAGCACTCGTCAATGTCTGGGGAGGGGAGGGGAGCCGCTGGCTGGGCTGAGTCTGCCCGTGGGACCCCTACGCCTTCCCCCAGGCATCTGTCACGCAGCCCCAGTCCCAGGCAGGCAAGGTCATACCCTCGCAGGTCATCATGGGGCCGGGCTCAAAGCCGTCCGCGCAGGCACATTCGAAGCCTCCGAGGACATTGGTGCACGTGCCTGCCCCACAAGGGTGCCCGACGGAGCACTCGTCTGTGTCTGGGTGGAGCAAGGGGGTGGTCAGTGCCCACAGAGTCCTCTGTCCTCAGTGTCATCCTGTCTTCCTCCCTGTTGACCACCACAGACTGAATGGGGTCATATTTGATGCCCCCTGAGGCTGGTGACGGGGGGGGCATGGGTCAATGCACGTTGAGTGTTCAGTGAATGAATGAATGAACAAGCAGCTAAACGCATGAGAGTCAGCAAAGGGGTGAACAAATGAGTGATTCAATGAATAAGTGAAACACAGGTGGAAGGATCAGTTAAGTTGAGGAGGTCAACAACAGTCTGGGCAACACAGCAAAGTCTTACTTCTAAAAAATAAAACGATAAATACATGAATGAATGAGTAACAAGGGAGTAACCAGGCTCGGGTGGCTCAGCCTGTAACTCCGCGCTTTGGGAGGATGAGGTGAGTGGATGGCCTGAACCCACGGGTTCGAGACCCGCTTGGGCTACTTGGCGAGACCTCATCTCTACAATAAATCAAAAAATCAGCCGGGCGTGGCAGCGCATGCCTGTAGTTCCAGCTCCTTGGAAGGCTGAGCAGAAGGACCGCCGGAGCCCAGCAGGTGGAGGCTGCGGTGGCCGGGAGCAGCCACTGCACTCCAGTCTGGGCGACAGACTGAGACTCCAACTCAAAAACAAAAAAAAACAAGGGAGCAAATGAGTAAAAGAATAAGTGAGTAAATGAATGAGTGAGGAAGCAAATGAATAAGTGAACGAATGGGCAAGTGAATGAGTGAGTGGGTGGTGGAGGGCGAGGGAGGAACTGAGTAGACGGGAGAGACAGTGGAAGAGGCCAGGCCCCTGACTCAGCGTGTCTTTCCCGCCCCGCCCCGCTCCTTTTCTTCCTGGGTCAGGTCGGGTGGGGCTGGCCACTCACCCACACAGCTGACGCCGGTGAAGTCCAGGCTGTAGCCAAAGGGACACTCACAGCGGAAGGAGCCATCGGTGTTGACGCAAAGGCCATTGGTGCAGACGCCGGGGTTCTCTGCACACTCATTCACGTCTGCGGGTGGCAGGCGTTGCAGACACAGCACCCCGGCCACACGCAGGGCCCCCGGGGGCACAAGAGCCCAGGGTCCATCCTGGCCGGGTCCGGGGCCACCCCTGGGTCTCAGCGGGAACCTGAGACTTGGGGACCCAGGCAACACCGAGATGGGACTGGGCGGCCCAGGAGGGGCTCTTAGCATGTGGGTGAGGAGCTCACCTTCTCGGGAGTCATCCAGGCCTGGGATGGCCCCGTGGCCAAAAGGGCAGAGTTCCTGAAAGGCAGCTGGACACAGAGGGGAAGGGGAGCCGGAGTCAGGGGCCGGGCGTCACCCCCAGAAAGCGCATGATGGAGGGCGGCCTGGATGGGGCAGGGTGCTCACCACTGCCCTCCCGAGGACACAGCTCACAGGGGTCACCCCAGCCCTCGCCAGGTCTCTTGCTACAGCAGCACCGGGTCTTGGTGGTGTTGACAGCTTTGGGCACCGAGCACTTCCCGGCCTCGAAACGAGTGAAGCAGAAACTCTGCCGTGTGTCTGTGGGGTGGCAGGCTCTGTTACCTTGATTAAGGGCCATGGGCAGTGCCCACTTACCCCTTCAGCAACCCTAGCCCAGTCCTGGTGAAGGCGTGGTGCTGACCCTACCCACGGCCAATCAGAACACACCATGTCCCTGGCTGTGGTGATTGGTTCAAGGATGGACATGTGACCCACTCTGAGCCAATAAGGATCTGCCCTGAGGCTTTGGATGGACAGCTGGGAATCCCTTCAGGAAATGTCCCATCCCACTTAACCCTGTGGGTGTCCCTGTGCCAGGAAGAAAGGGTCAAACTCAGCCACTGGCTATTCTTGGATCAGAAGCCCTTTCCTAGAGAAGCAAAGTGACTGGATTCCAGAGAAGCAGAAGACCCTGAAATTCAGACCCCAAGCCCCCGGTCCTCAGCCCTGGTATCCCATCCGATGTCCTCATGGGCAGGCTGGGGTCCTGGCCCCCCAGAACAGCAAATATTGGCTGAGCTGAACTGCAGGCTCCACTGTCAACCCTTATGGCCCCTACCCTGTGAGAGTAGAGGCTGGCTCCAGTTGAGTGAGGCTAGCTCACAATAGACAAGGCTAGCCCAGCTGAGATGAAGCCAGCCCAGAGTGGCGTAAGCTAACTCAGAACAGACTAAAGCAGCCCAGTGAGGGAAACCATGGCCCATATAGGACAACCTAAACCAAGGACACTCAGGCTAGCCTAGAAGGAACCAGGTTAGCCCTCTGTAGACATGACCTCTCTGGTTCCACTAATTCAGGAAAAACACGTTTGCGTGGCCAGAGCCCCTGGAGGGTCATACAAGAAACCACTGCCCTCTTTTCTGGGTGATCTGACCCTGCCCTGTCCCACTTCTCACCTCTCCCCTAAACTCTATGTGCTCCCCTGGGCTCCAGACTCACCAAGGCAACGGTGCCCATTGTCAGAGAGGACAAAGCCAGGAGGGCAGAGGCACTGGAAGCTCCCAGGGCTGTTGACACAGGTGCCAAAGAGGCAGAGGTTGGGCTCCTCTGAACACTCGTTGATATCTGGAGGGGCAGGGACACAAGCTGGGTGGGGTGTAAGGACTGTCACCAGGGCGAGGACTCAGCTGGGAGGAGGGTGCCTTGAGGGTAGCACAAGGCAGGTGCGTGTGTGTGGGTCTTTCCTGGAAGGTGTCGGGGACGTTCATTGTTAGACATTAAAATTGCACAAAGCTAACTGAGACTGGATACATTGAGCCTACACTGGATGGCACATGGACACATCATCCTAGGCTAGCCCGGACAGCACAGACCAGAAGAGGCCAGGCTACGCTGGTCCAGGTTAGCCCAGATTACACAAGGCCAGCCTGTAGGGAAGACTAGATCAGAGGTGGTCAGGCCGGACTAGTTGAGGTTGGCCCAAGACTGCAGGAGGCTAGCTCATCAGCTCAGGTCAGACTGGTCCAGGTGAGACCACAATGAACAAGGCTCGTCCAGGTGGATTAAGGGAGACCAGAAAAGACTGGTCTAGGTTAGCCCAGATTGCACAAAGTCACCCCTATGGTCAGCCGGGTCCTCAACCACTCATTGGTGAGTGAGGAATTCTGCATTGAGGTGCTCTGAGGTCCAGTGGGACCCTGTATCCACGTCCAATTTTGTAGAATCCACAAGGACACCTGTGGGCCCCAGAGAAGGCCCTGAGCTGGAGTCCAGAAATCATCATAGTGACAATGACCAACCACGCATGGTGCTGTGTTAAATGCATCTCTGCCCTCACCACAAACCCAACTGGGATTCCCACTTCACAGATGGAGAAATAGAGGCCCAGAGGCACCTCCCTAGATCCAGAGCTGGGAGGTGGGGCTGGACACTCACCAATGCAGTGGTCACTCTGCACTTGGAAGCCAGGGGGGCAGAGGCAGCGGAAGGAGCCCTCGAGGTTCTGACAAGTGCCGGGCAGGCAGGTTCCCGCAAGGCTGAGACACTCATTGGTGTCTGTGGAGAGGAGGAAGAAGGGTCCCAGCACCAGCCAGGAGACAGGGCCTCACCTGGGATCAGGACCAATACCTGCAGTCACTGTGTGATGGCCCAGGGCTCCAGGACAACCTCTCCCAGTGGCAGTTCTGGCTCCAGGGGAAAGGCTGAGACTCAGAACCACAAGGACAGCTGGGGAAGGATTATCTGGTTCTGGTGGGGTCATAGGCAAAGCCAGATGGTATCCATGGCATGGAGGGGACAGGGAGGAAGATTCCTAATCTGGTGTCACTTGCAAATGTCCTCCATGTTTTTTGTGGTATTCACTTAGCATTTCTAACTACTTCTTCAGTATATAATTTCTCTTTTTCCTATTTTATAAATCTTACATTTTTTTCTTCTTCTTCTTTTTTTTTTTTAGTCAGAGTCTCACTCTGTCATCCAGGCTGGAGTACAATGTCCACCACAGCCTCGACCTACTGGGCTCAGGTGATCCTTCCGCTTCAGCCTTCCAAGAAGCTGGAACTACAGGAGTGTGCCACCATGCCCAGCTATCTAATTATCTATTTATTTATTTATTTATTGTAGAGATGAGGTCTTGCCAAGTTGCCCAGGTTGGTCTCAAACCTGTGGACTTGGGCAATCCTCTCGCCTTGGCCTCCCAAAGTGCTGGGATTACAGGCATGAGCCACCATGCCCAGTTAGAAATCTTGCATTTTTTAAGACAGCCTCACCCTAAACATAAACCCCTCAAAAATGTGGGTGGGATGTGCTAGTGTTGTTTTGGTTTTTTTTTAATATCTTAAAATAAATGCACGGGTATCAGAAGTACCAACTGCAGGGACACATGGATCAGGAGCTGGCTGAGACGACTGCCAGCACTGTAGGGAGACTCACCCACACAATTCTTCCTATCGGCTGTGAGATGAAAGCCATCCTGGCAGAGACAGTGGAAGGAGCCAACTGTGTTGAGGCACTGGCCAAAACGGCACACTTGGCCCACCAAAGTAGTACACTCATCAATGTCTGCAGAGGGGAGATGGGGAGGTGAGGGGATTGAGCCTTCCTTGTACTTCTGTCTACAGCTATTAATACATTGGGTCGATGGCAATGGCTTCGACTGATTGAGCATTCATGTAATCTTCCAATTATTCTATGAGGTAGATACTGATATTTTCTAACATAACCATTTGATGCTATGAATTTGCCTCTAAGTTCCCCCTTAGCTGCATCTCACACAGTTCCATATACTATGCTTTTCATTTACTTCAAAATATTTTCTACTTCCCTTATGACTTCTTCTTTAACCTATGGGGTAATTTAAGAGTATGTTGTTTAATTTCTAAAACTCTGGGGACTTTCTGGGCATCCCTCTGGAATTGATTTCTAGATTCACTCCCTTATGTTCTGAGAACATACTTTGTGCTACTTCAATTCTTCTAAATTTGTTAAGATTTGTTATATGGTCCAGAATACAATCTTCCTTGGTGATTATCCATATGCACTTGAGAAGAATGTGTTTGTCTATGGCCATACCACCCTGAACACGCCTGATCTCGTCTGATCTTAGAAGCTAAGCAGGGTCAGGCCTGATAAGTACTTGGATGGGAGAGAAGAATGTGCTCTAGGATCCAGGGCCAAAGTGGTTGATATTGTTGTTTAGTCTACTATAACCTTACTGGTTTTCAGTCTACTTGTTCTATTACTGAAGGAGGCATGTTGAAGCTGCCAACTGTAATTGTGGATTTGTCTATTTCTTTTCCAGTTCTGTCCATTTTTACTTCATATATTTTGAAGTTCCGACTATGCACTTTGATTATGCAGTTCTCAAGAATGGACCCTCTGCTCAATAAATAATGTCTCCATTTCTGGTAATATTCCTTGCAGAGAAGCTACTTGGTCTGCTTGTCTCTATCGCTGGTAATATTCTCTGCAGAGAAGTCTATTTGGTCTGATAGGTACTACTAATCATCCCCTTTCCACAGGTGAGAAAACTAAGGTTCAGAGAGGTTAATAACTTGCCTAGGGTCACACAGTTGATAGGTGGAATTTGAACTCATGCCACCCAACCAGAGAGTCTACGCTTTTAGTCAGTGTACTAACTGGGCTAGTGCCACACCATCCAGGTCTTGCTTGGACTATTTGCCTCCCTTTCTGGGTCCTCCATCTACTTCCCGTCAACCTCAGCATAGCTCTAATGACCCCTGAAAGTCCTCTGGCTGCCACCTGGCAATTGAGGGGGTGTGGAGAACCTCGTGGTTGAGTCACTGTCAGAGAAAACTCCAGCCCCTGGGGTTGTTTTTCCATAGAGGTCCCTGGGTCTAGAGCCTGCATTTCAGAGTGGTGCCCTCGAGCCACAGATCCACTTTTCAGTGAGGAACGCTGAGACCCGCCCACCAACCAGCCAGCTCACCCATGCAATCCCCGTTGTACGCTGCCACAAAGCCAGGGAAGCAGAGGCAGTCGTAGGAGCCGACAACGTTCTTACAGGTCCCGTTTCCACATGGCTGCTGATCACACTCGTCAATATCTGCCAGATCACAGCCCCAAAGGTCCCGCTCAGCTCACCCAGGACACTGCCGGCTGGACCCAGCCCACCTCCCCTGTTCCTAGCCCTGCCCGGGGGGCTGGCAAGTGACCCCTGGGGGGTGAGGGCTGGGAAGTATCCCTGGTACTATTTATCACCCCCATTCGCCAAAGGGGAAACCAAGGCACAGAAAAGCAGGTTAAGTAATTTACCCAAGATCTTAACATCAGGGCTCAAACCCATCAGTGAGCTAGGATGGGCAGAAGCATCCTCTTACCAGGGGTCACTTGGCCTGGGGGCGGGGGACGGGAAGAGGGAGGAAGAGGGACTCTCACCCAGACACAGGGTCTGGTCCACTGAGGCCCGGAAGCCCTGGTGACACAGGCACACGTAGCTGCCCTCCGTGTCCACGCAGTCGCCATGGCTACAGACTTTCGGGATCTCCTGACACTTGTTCCGTCCTGGGGGTGCAGGCAGCACTGTGTCCCTGGGCCCCGCCCCCCAGGGTCTACCTGAGCTCTCCCACACTGCAATGGAGGCAGCATGGCTGGCCTCGAAGGCCTCCTCAAGCTCCCTCGGGCTCTCAGCATCAGGCTTGGCCCTCTCTCCTTCACATCCCATCTCGCTCGTATAACTGCCTTACTTTTTCAGTTTTAGAGACAGGGTCTTGCTCTGTGGCCCAGGCTGGAGTGCAGTGGCATGATCACAGCTCACTGTAGCCTCGAACTCCTGGGATCTGGTGATCCTCCCGCCTCAGCCTTCCGGGTAGCTGAGACGATAGGTTCACACCAACATGGCTGGCTAAAGTTTTTTTTTTTTTTGAGTCAGAGTCTTATTCTGTTGTCCAGGCTGGAGTACACTGGCACGCTCACAGCTATTGCAGCCTCAACCTGCTAGGCTCAGGTGATCCTTCTGCCTCAGCCTTCCAAGTAGCTGGAACTACAGGCATGTGCTATCATGCCTGGCTAATTTTTTGATTTATTGTAGAGAAGAATTCTCGCCAAGTTGCCCAGGCTGGTCTTTAACCCGTGGGCTCAGGCAAATCCCCTCATCTCGGCCTCCCAAAGTGCTGGGATGATAGGCATGAGCCATCACGCCAGGCCCTAATTTTTAAAAAACGTTTAGAAATGTGGCTAGAACATCTCTCCCAGGCTGCAGGGTGGGGTGTCTCTGAGTTCAGGGTTCCCAGAACGGCTGCCCCTGATGGCTGATGCTCCCCATAGACGTCCTCGAGTGAAGAGAGATTCCTGCCATCTGTGCTGGTGGCGTCTGCTCAGGCTGGTCTCGAATTCCTGAACCTCAAGTGATCCTCCCACCTGGGCCTCCCAAAGTGCTGGGATCACGGGCGTGAGCCACTGCACCTGGACAGGCACCCTCAATCCGCCCCCTCACCCCTCGCCCCTCTCATGGTAAAGATAAGGAGACCGCACAGAGACACGTCCTGTCCAAGTCCCTGGCTCCTCGCCCCTCTCCCTGCTCACCCACACAGGCCCCGCCTGGCAACAGCTTGTAACCGCGGGCACATTCGCAGTGGTAGCTGCCGGGAATGTTGAGGCAGTTGGCGTGCTGCTGGCAGGGAGTCTTCCCGCCACCACATTCGTCCACATCTGGGTGGAAAGAGCCAACAGGGTGGGGGTGAAGGAAACCCACCCTGAAGGATCAGACCCTAAACCCAGGCTCCTGCTTCGGAGCTGGTGGTCTCTCCAGAAGTAGCCAGAACTAGAGTGAGAGAGGAAACATAAGAAGGAAACTCATGGAAAGCTGGTAGTTCTGTTACACAAACGGGGAAACTGAGACTCAGAGACTTTTTTTTTTTCTCTTTTAGCGAGAGAGTCGGGCTCTGTGGCCCAGGCTGGAGTGCAGTGGCCCGATCATAGCCCACCACTGCAGCCTCCAACTCCTGGGCTCAAACGATCCTCAGCCTCCCAAGGAGCTGGGACTACAAGTGCACGCCTCCCGGCTGAGGCTCAGAGTTTAAATGACTCTCCCAGGTAGCACAAAGGGGAACCAGCATCCCACCCAGACCCAGAGTCTGAGGATGGAGGGGACAGGCAGCACCTTGACAGGCCAGCAAGACGCCATTGTAGTGGAAGCCCACCGGACACTCGCAGCGGAAGCTCCCCATCCGGTTGATACAGACGCCACCGGCACAGAGGGCGGGGATCTCTCTGCACTCGTCGACGTCTGCGGAGAGGTTCAGCCGTCAGGGGCAGCCCTTCTGGGGACCCTGAGCTCAGAGATGTCCTGGCCCACGGCCTGGGAGAGAGATTCTAGCTACAAACTAGCACACGCTAAACAAAAATCCTGCTGTGGCCAAAACATATCCGTTCACACAAGAAAGAGATGAGGATGAGGAAGGAGAGACAGGGATAGAAAGGGTAGTGCTTCTCAATTAAAAACGCACATTTGGGCCGGGCTCAGTGGCTCAGCCTATAATCCCACACTTTAGGAGGCCGAGGTAAGTGGATTGCCTGAGCCTGCAGGTTCTAGACCCGCCTGGGCAACTTGGCAAGACCTCATCTCTACAATAAATCAAAAAATTAGCCAGGTGTGGTAGTGCGCGCCTTTAGTTCCAGCTACTTGGAAGGCGGAGGCGGAAGGATCGCCAGAGTCCGGCAGGTCAAGGCTGCAGTGGCTGGGAGTGTGCCACTGCACTCCAGCCTGGGCCATAGAGAGAGACTCCAACTCAAAAAAAAAAAAAAGAAAGAAAGAAAGAAAATGGGCTCATCAATTAAACAGCATACCTCAGAAATGTGGCCTGTAGGTGTTAAATTGTGCAAAATCTTGTTTAATTTATTTTTTAATTTTTGGTTTTTTTTTGAGTTGAAGTCTCACTCTGTCACCCAGACTGGAGTGCAGTGGCCGCTCCCGGCCACCACAGCCTCGACCTGCTGGGCTCCGGCGATCCCTCTGCCTCAGCCTTCCAAGAAGCCGGAATTACAGGCATGCGCTACAACGCCCGGCTGATTTTTTGATTTATTGTAGAGATGAGGTCTTGCTGCCCAGGCGGGCCTCGAACCCACGGGCTCAGGCAATCCACTCACCTCAGCCTCCCAAAGGCGCGGGATTGCAGGCTGAGCCACCGAGCTCGGCTTCGTTTAACTTATAAAGCGGGTGTTGACATAGGCAACAACACCGATGGACACCTCGTTCAGTGAAATCAGCCAGTCACAAAAGACACGCCCTGTGTGATCCACGCCCAGGAGGCCCCTGAAGTCCTCAGATTCATAGAGGCGAAAGTAGCATGGTGGGCGCGCCAGGGGCTGGAGAGGGAACAGGGAGTGAGCATTCCCTGGGGACAGAGGTTCAATTTGGGAAGAGGAGAAAGTTCTGGAGACCATGGTGGTGATGGTGGCACCACCATGGGAGGCGCTCAAAGCTGCTGAAATATACACTTAAAAAATGGCAGCCGGGCTCAGTCTGGGCGACAGAGTGAGACTCCAACTCCAGTCTGGGCGACAGAGTGAGACTCCAACTCAAAAAAAAAAAAAAAAAGAAAAGGAAGAAAGGAGAGAAGCTGCCCTGTCCCGCTGAAGCACTGTGTTCCCTACATGGGGACTTTGATGCTTTATTCTCATCAGAACAAGGCAGATTAGTCTAGAAGCCCAAAGTACGCTGGGCTTCCTTAAACATTGTGCCAGGAAGGGCCGGGCTGGGAAGGAGGTAGGGAGGGTCACTCACGGCTGGCGGGGGCAGGACAGGCCTCACAGGGTCTATTCCAGGCCTGACCAATGTTGTGGGAACAGCAGCACATCTTCCGGGTCACATTGAAAGCCAACTCGTTGTGACATGTGCCGTCATAGTGCCGGAAACAAAGATTCTTCCTCATATCTGCAGTGGGGGTGAGGAAGATGAGTTTGAGTAAAAGCCTCCTGAGTCAAAGGAAGAGAGAGGCAAACAAATGGAAACTCCTTCATGGATCTAATTGAAAATGACTAGCTCGATGTCTCTCCCTTGACATGCTAGGGGGTGCCATTCATTTTCTAGCCTTTGTTAGGCAGTACGCAACCTGGGCAACTGTTCGTGGCAGCCTCAGGCTTCCGAGTCCTGCAACCTTGTTTACCGCCATATATCAGCACTCCCACTCCTTCCTCCCGGAAACATGCCTCTCTGTACTCCTCCAAGGCTTGGAGGCTCCTCACCGTCCCTCCCACACCCACTTGCTGCTTCTGCAACAGTCTGTCCCCTGGGTCATCACACTGCCTACCCATGCAGCTGTTGCCACCGTTGACCTGCAGGTATTCTGCAGGGCAGATGCAGGTGAAGTTCCCCAGAGTGTTGTAGCAGGTGCCAGGGCCACAGATGCCCGTGTGTGTGGAGCACTCATCAATATCTGCAGGGGTGGGGGGGGGCTGTGTCAAGGAATCGTCTGGATCACTCCCCTCCCGAGACCCAGGGGGGCCACTGTACCGAGGGCGTGAGTCTGGTTTCAGGATCAGTCTAAGGGTCATTGTGATGTGGAAAGATACAAAGTAGCATTAAGTGGGGGGAAAAAAGTTTGCAATACTCTTACTTCCATTAGAAGAAAATGTTCTGAGCCCCTGAATCAATGTTACTATCACTAAGAATGAGGCCACCGTGCCTTTCTAATGTGACAGGAAGCAAGAATCCCACGGATGAAGTATTATTATTATTATTATTATTTATTTTAATTTTAATTTTTTTGAGTCAGAGTCTCACTCTGTTGCCCAGGCTGGAGTGCAGTGGCACATTGCTCATGGCTGCTGCAGCCTCAGCCTGCTAGGCGCAGGTGATCCTTCCGCCTCAGCCTTCCGAGTAGCTGGAACTACAGGCAAGTGCCACTATGCCCGGCTAATTTTTTGATTCATTGTAGACATGCGGTCTCGCCAAGTTGCCCAGGCTGGTCTTGAATCCAGGGTCTCACGCAATCCTCTCACCTCGGCCTCCCAAAGTGCTAGGATTACAGGCATGAGCCACCACGCCCAGTCAATTTTTGACTTTTTATAGAGATGAGGTCTCACTATGCTGCCCAGGCTGGTCTTGAACTCCTGGGCTCCACCAGTCCTCCTGCCTCAGCCTCCCAAAGTGCTGGAATTACAGGTATGAGCCACCACACCTGGGCTAGAGTATTGATCATATTGTGAATCAACTTTTTTTTTTTTCAAGAGTGCTTTATCTCGGCTGGGCACAGTGGCTCATGCCTGTAATCCTTACACTGTGGGCGGCTAAGACAGGGGGATTGCTTGAGGCCAGGAGTTGGAGACCAGCCTAGGCAACATAGCGAGAGCCTGTCTCTTCCAAAAACAAAATTAGCTGGGTGTAGGAGTACATGCCTGTAATCCCACCTACTCGGGAGGCAGAAGCAGAAAGATCACCTGAGCCCAGGAAGTTGAGGCTGCAGTAAGCTATGATTGCGTCACTGCACTCCAGCCTGGGTGACGGGGACCCTTTCTCTAACAATAACAATAATAATAATAAGGCTAGGCAACTTGCCAGACTGGGTAACTTGGCAAGATCTTTTCGCTACAATAAATTTTAAAAATTAGCTGGGTGTGGTGACGCATGCCTGTAGTTCCAGTTACTTGGAAGGCTGAGGCGGAAGGATCGCCGGAGCCCAGCAGGTCGAGGCTGTGGTGGCCAGGAGCGTGACACTGCACTCCAGCCTGGGTGACAGAGTGAGACTCAGACTCAGAAAACTAAAAATAAGAAAAAAGTCAAAAAAGGAGCTGGGCATAGTGGCACACACCTATAGTCCCAACTACTCAGCAGTCTGAGGCAAGAGGACTGCCTGAGCCCAGGAGGTAGAGGCTCCAGTGAGCTGTGATCATGATGTTGCACTCCAGGCTGAAGGACAGAGCGAGACGCCAACTCAATAAAACAAAACAAAACAAACCAAAAAACCTTTGGTTTGGGGGTAGCACCCTTTTTCTGTGAAGGGCCAGGTCGTTTTGGTTTCATGGGCCAAGCAGCGGTGTCAGTCACAATCATTCAATCTGCCACGATAGCATGCAAGCTGTCATAGAAGATATGTAAACAAACTGTGCTACTGGCCTTATGCCAAGAAAACTTTATTTATGAACCCTGGAATTTGAATTTCATATCATTTGTATGTGTCACAAAATATGACTTTTTTTTTTTTTGAGTTGGAGTCTCACTGTCGCCCGGACTGGGGTGCAGTGGCCACTCCCGGCCCCCGACCTGCCTCGACCTGCTGGGCTCCGGCGATCCTTCCGCCTCGGCCTTCCGAGTAGCCGGAATTACAGGTGCGCGCTACCACGCCCGGCTGATTTTTTGATTTATTGTAGAGATGAGGTCTCGCTGCCCAGGCGGGTCTCGAAACCGCGGGCTCAGGCAATCCACTCACAATAGCCTCCCAAAGGCGCGGGATTACAGGCTGAGCCACCGAGCCCGGCTTACTCTTTTTTTAATCACATACAAAACTATTTATAATGTTCTTAGCCAGGTACAGTGTCTCACATCTGTCATCTCAGCACTTTGGGAGGCCAAGGCAGGGAGGAGCACTTGAGCCAGGAGTTCAAGACCAGCCTGGGCAACACAGCAAGACCCCGTTCTCTATAACAATACATTTTAAAAATTACCCGGGTGCAGTGGCTCATGCCTGTAATCCCAGCAAATCAGGAGGCCAGGGCAAGAGGATTGCTTGACGCCAGGAGTTCAAGACCAGCCTGGGCACCCCAGCAAGACCTCAACTCTACAAAAAATAAAATTAAAAATTTAGCTGAGCACAGTGGCACATCCTGGGCGACACAGCAAATTGTGAAAATACAATTAAAAAATTGGTTGGGCGTGGCAGCACACATTTGCAGTCCTGGCCACTCAGGAGGCTGAAGTGGGAGGATCACTTGAGCCCAGGAGGTCAAGGCTGCACTCCTATGACAGCGCCACTGCGCCTGGGTGACAGAGTAAGACCCTGTCTCTTTAAAAAAAAAAAATGTATTTTTAGCTAGTGGAAAAAATCAAGTGGTGGACTAATCCCAAGCTAGAAGTCAAATCTCCAGAAATAGCAGCACGGGAAACCCCAGGACTCCATTCTTCCACAAAAGCAATGATGGAGCTAGCAAACACGGACAAAATGCAACTCCCGGGCACTCTAGAATCTTGTCAAAAACTTCCCCCAACCAGAGGAAGACATGGTAGAGAAGGAAGCCGTGGCAGGGGGCGCCGTGGCCGTGGCACTGTCCTGGGCACCCCTGCCACCACCCATGGCATACACCCACGCGGCCACAAGAGTCTTAAAGGCTCAGAGAGAAATGACCCACCAACATGTCATGACAAGGGGCGGCGGCAGCACAGAGGTGACAGGGCTTGCCCGAGGCTGACCCTCGTGAAGCTGGTAAGGCAGGAGACAGGGAGAGGGGGAAGATCCCGGCCTGGGGAGAGGCCACGCTCACCCTCACAGACGCGGGTGTCCTCACGCAGGCGGTAGCCGGGCAGGCACTGGCACCGGAAGCTGCCGAAGGTGTTGACGCAGTCACCCCCCTGACACAGCCCGGGCAGCTCCTGGCACTCGTCGATGTCTGCCGGGAAGTGAGGAGTCAAGTCTGGGAGCTAAAGCCCTGAGAGGACTCGGGGGACACCCACACCCGGCCCTGGGCTGTTGTGTAGATGGAGGGTCGGTCCACCCTGGAGGCCAGACCCAGACTCTTGAGTGAATGTCACCCCCCAAGCAATTCCTTTCCCTTCAGCTGTTAGTCCTCCCCCCCACCCATAACACAGCTCCTTTGGATTGAATGTCTTCTCCAACCTCATTGCTCTGGATGGATGGATGGATGCATGGATGGATGGATGGATGGAGGTGAGGGTGGAATCAACAGCCGGTCTCCAAAAGGATGGGTGGAAGATCCCCAGGAACTCACCTTCCAGAATGACAGTGGTGGGGTTGGGCCGGAAGCCCTCGCCCCCCGGGCACAGGGTTCGGTACTCGGCTGTGAGGGAAAAGGGCTTGTGAGGGCTTGGGGGGGCTGGGGAAGGGCACTGGGCAAAGCTTAGGGGAGACGGGATGACAGATCCCCAAAATGGGCCCGGAAGTCAACCAAACGCCCTTATCTCTGTGGCCTCCAGGACCAAGACACCTTGGCCACTCCCAGGGCGGCCTGGGAAGCCAGGATTTGTGTGTGTGTGCACACGTGTGTAAATATGTTCACATTCAACACATAAGCAGATGGGTTGTGTGGCTGTAGCTAGGGTGGCAGGGGAGTGGGGAGAGGATGATTCTTTCTGATCCAAAACCAGATGCTAGTGGGATGGCAAGTCTCCCCCGAAAGGAAGACTCCGGACAGTCACACACGCACACACCTGAACAGGTGGACAGGTACCCCCTTATCTCATACCTGAGGCCTTTGCAGATATTGTTCCTAATGCATTGTACACCCTTCCCCCTACTCTGCTAGGAAAACTCCTACTCATCCTTCAAAACTCCTGCCCTTATGCCCTTCCTCTCTACAACTTTCTTCTCAGCCATCACTTTGCCTCAAACCCTCAAGGTAGCTCTACGTTCAATATAGTACTGAAACTGAGGGCCTAAGGGTGAGGAACCATGTGCAATGGCTGTGACTCTTCTCTGGGTCCCTGGGCCCCAGTACATGACACAGAGAACTCTTAATGTTTGTTGACTGACTGAGTGATTGAGTGAACACACATACACAGAAAAGAACTTGCAGAAAACAACCTGAGAGAGAGGCCTGGCCAATGCACTGCCAAGAGTACACTAAGTGACCCAGAATGAGCCTCTCCCCCGCCCTCCCTGGTCCTCAGTTTCCCTGTCTCCTAAGGTCCCCCCGGAGTGGAGAGGAACCCTGAAGTTTCTGGTTTCTGGAGCTCTGGTTACCGTGCTTGTCTGCCCACAGGGATTCACTGGTGTTGGCCGTTGGGCACAGCTCACAGGGGGTGCCCCAGGCCTGGCCCAGGGAACAGCAGCATGAGGCGCGAGTGACACCAACTCCAATCTCGGCACTGCAGGAAATGCCACCATCACCTCGGTCATGGGTGTCTAGGAAACAGTTTCCAAACCGGGTGTCTGAAGAGGCAGAAAGGGACAGTTAGCAAGTGGCAAGAAAAAAACTGTGTGTGTGTGTGTGTATGTGTGTGTGTGTGTGTGTGTGTGTGTGTGTGTGTGTCTCTTAACAAGTCAGCCTCAACCTTCTGGGCTCAGGTGATCCTTCTACCTCAGCCTTCCAAGGAGCTGGAGACACAGGTGTGTGCGACCACGTCCAGCTAATTTTTTTCTTGATTTGTTATAGAGACAACAAGTTGCTCAGGCTGGTCTCGAACCCCTGGGATCAGGCAATCCTCTCGCCTCCACCTCTCAAGTGCTGGCATTACAGGAGTGAGCCACCACACCCAGGTATTTTTATTTTTATTTTTTAGAGACAGGGTCTCACTCTGTCACCCAGGTTGAAGTGCAGTGGCGTGATTATAGCTCACTGCAGCCTCGACCTCCTGGGCTCAGGCGGTCCTCCCACCTCAGCCTCCTGAGTTGTCGGAACCACAGTCATGCACCACCACACCCGCTAATTTTTAAAATCCATATAGTCAAGACAGGATCTCACTATGTTGTCCAGGCTGGTCTCAAACTCCTGCCTCAAGCGATCCTCCCACCTTGGGCTCCCCGAGTGCTAGATTACAGGTGTGAGTCACCGTGCCCAGCCAGGGGCAGGCAGATCTGCACCCACTGCTGTCTGGGTGGGGCTCAGGCCACAGCCCCGCCTACTCCACTGACCCCAGAGCCCCAGCCAGAGCCGAGCATGGACTCACCCACGCAGCCCACCCCACTGGGGTTTAGCTCGAAGTCCTGGGGACAGTTGCACCGGTAGCTCCCAGGAGTGTTGACGCACAGGCCATTGATGCAGTTCACTGGTTCTGCACACTCGTCGATGTCTGAAGCGAGGAGAGTTCAGCCTCAGCTGAGGGCCCTCCCCCAGGACTCTCTGCCAGCATCCTCTTGGGAAGCCAAGCCCTCGCTCCCTCAGGTCCGCCACTGGGCACCAGACTGCGTCTGTTCTGCCTGGTCCAGCCCTACCCACTCCCCGCTCTGTTCTGTTTGACAGAGGTTTGCCCCCTTGAAAATTCCACATGTCCTCGGTTCCATGCAGCCAACACATAAAACCCAACTTATGACATTACTGTACTGTTACAGATGAAGTCTTGCTCTGTCACCTAGGCTGGAGAGCAGTGATGCAATCATAGCTCCCCGCAGCCCTGAACTCCTGGGCTCAGGTGTTCTTCCTGCCTCAGCCTCCTGAGCAGTTGGGACTACAGACATGGGCCACCAGGCCTGGCTAATTTTTTTTTGTAGAGATGAGGTCTTGCTGTGTTGCCCAGGCTGGTCTTGAACTCCTGGCCTAAAGCAGTCCTCCCACCCAAGGTGCTGAGGTTACATGTACGTGTCACCATGCCTGATCTCAACTCATATTTAGAAAATGCTATGAAACCTGGGGTTGGCAAACTCCAGCTTGTGGGCCAAATCTGGCTCACCACCTGTTCGTGTCAATAAAGTTTTATTGGCACACGGGTCACAATGTTTCCACTTGCATATAACTGAAATTGAGATTGCTTTAGAGTTATAATGGCAGAGGTGAACTGCTCTAACAGAGACCGTGTGGTCCACAAAACCGAAAATAGTTATCATCTGACTTTTTTTTTTTAAGAGACAGAGTCTCACTCTATTGCTCAGGCTGGAGTGTATGGTGACCATCACTCACTGAGGCCTTGAATTCCTGGGCTCAAGTAATCCCCCAGCCTCCGCCTCCCGAGTAGCTGGGACTACAGGTGCATGCCACCACGACCAGGCCACATCTGCCCATTTAAAAACACCTACAGGCAGGAGACCCTTTGGCAGTTGGGGTGCAGGGGAATTTCATTCATTCACTGCAATTCTTCGACAGGGGAACAGGTACGGGGCGGGATGGGGGCTACTTTAGATGGGAGGCCAAGCGAGACCCTGAGCAAGGAAATCTGAGGAAGACCTGTGGAAGCCAGCCATGTCTCTTGCCCCTCCACACCCAGCCCGGCCCTCCAACCTGTGCATTCGTGGCCACCTCGGTCCAGCTCATAACCGCTGCTGCAGACGCAGTAGAATGTTCCAGGCAGATTCTCGCAGATCCCAGAGGCGCAGACGTTTCCGAGCACACACTCGTCCACATCTGCGGGGACCCAGTCAGCCCACCAGCCCAGGGCGCACCTGGAACACCCACCACCCCCCCCAGTGGGCGCAGGGTCACCTCGGCAGGCCCGGTGGTCCTCCGTGGGGCCAAAGCCCACCTGGCACTCGCAGTGGTACCCGCCGGGTGTGTTCAGGCACCACCCGTGGACGCAGACGTCCCCGTTCTCAGTGCATTCATCCCTGTCTGAGGGGCCAGGTCACTCGAACCCGGTCTCCTAGGGGTCCAGGCCAGGAGCTCCGAGGCCCAGACCCCTCATGTGGGTGGAAAGCAAGAGGCCAGGCCAGAGTGGGAGGGGAGAGCTGGCTCCCGGGCAGGGAGAGGACCCGTCCCTGGGATGAGGGCAGATGGTAGCTGGGAGCCAGGGAGTGTCCCAGCCCTCGGGAACTCCAGGGAGGGGTGGCCGCGACGGCACCTTCTGGGCCAAGCATCCGCCTCCAACACCACATGGCGTGGTATCGGGAGGCCAAGGGACCAAGTGAGCCTGTGAACCCGGCCCAGGGCTGTCCCTCTCGGTCACCCTCCCTCTCACCCCCATCTCACCCTCGCAGGAGAAGCCGTCCCCGGAAAAGCCCTGGTGACAGACGCAGCGGTAGGTGCCAGGGGAGTTGAGACAGGCAGCTCCCAGGCTGCACCGGTGCTCCTGGCTGGCACACTCATCCAGGTCTGTGCGGACCAAGCCAGGCCCTCATGTACGTCAGAGGCCAGGGGAAGGCCGACTCTACAAGCCCGCCCCCATGGCCTCTGCAGACCCCCGAGATGCCCCCTCGAAGAGCCCCCAGCCCGCCTCTTCCGCTTTATCCAGACGCCCTGCCTCAAGCACTCACCATGACATGTGAAGCCATCGCCCACCCAGCCTGGCTGGCACCTGCAGCGGAAACTCCCGGGGAGGTTGAGGCAGGAGGCGTGACTGTCACAACTGTGTTCCCCGAGCTCACACTCGTCCACGTCTGAAGGGAGAGGAAGCAATGGAGGAACCCAGGCACAGAGAGGGAGACTTGGTGGGGAGAGCCAGGAGGAGCAAGGACCTTCCCTCCCTGGTGGGGACTGACCCAGAAAGCCTCCTCCCACCCACCCAGGGAACTTCCATCTTTCCCCACCCCAGGCTCAAGAGGAGAACCCTAAACTCCACAGGCACAACTCTCAGTTGCCCTCATGAATGGTCAGAAATGGCAGCATGGAGCCGGGCTTGGTGGCTCAGCCTGTAATCCCGCGCCTTTGGGAGGCTGAGGTGAGTGGATTGCCTGAGCCCGCGGGTTCGAGACCCGCCTGGGCAGCGAGACCTCATCTCTACAATAAATCAAAAATTCAGCCGGGCGTGGTGGCACATGCCTGTAATTCCAGCTACTCGGAAGGCTGAGGCGGAAGGATCGCCGGAGCCCAGCAGGCCGAGGCTGCGGTGGCCAGGAGCGGCCACTGCACTCCAGTCTGGGGGACAGAGTGAGACTCTAACTCAAAAAAAAAAAAGAAAGAAATGGCAGCATGAGGCGCTTAGGGGAGACATTAAGAGTAACTGTCCTCAGTTGGGTGCAGTGGCTCACGCCTATAATCCCAGTACTTTGGGAGGCCGAGGAGAGAGAACTGCCTGAGCCCAGGGGTTCGAGACCAGCCCGGGCAACTTGGTGAGACCTCATCTCTACAATAAATCAAGAAAAATTAGCTGGGCGTGGTGGTGCACGCCTGTAATTCCAGCTACTGGGAAGGCTGAGGCAGAAGAATCGCCTGAGCCCAGCAGGTCAAGGCTGGGGTGGCCAGGAG